AGGCAACGTTCTGACTTCTATTGTATTGCTCGGTATCGTTGGGCTTTTTACGTGAGTTTGCCATCACAATTGTCTCTTCAAAAGTCCTATTTAAGAAGTCTAGGGAAGGTGTGACAATAGAAGTAGTGGCTAGTACAGAAGAGGCTATTCCATGTATTGATCAGAATACTACTTTGAGTCGCCTAAATAATAGTAGGAACCTGGGGAACGTTGAAATGTTCAAGAGTTCTTGTGATAGTGTGACTTCCAGTTGTGTTGCAACCAGACAGCTCTCGGTGTCTGTAACGAGAGCATGGTCAGGAAGTTTCGGAAGAATGTAAACATTACTATCGTCATTGGCCATAGCTTCAAATTAAACGGGGTAACTTCTTATGTCACGAGGTATGGCGCGGTAATGGGCGCGTGGAGTAGGCGGAAAAGGGCTTGTATTTGCCCAAAGATAATGAAGAAGGAAGACAAGTGCATGAATAGTGTTGTGATGGCTTCAACCATCCGTGGCCTCACCGCATGTCACGTGACCTCGGTTACATAATCATCGAGCTCCACACTCGCTCGCACCCTCTATTTCAGGGCGAGCTTCGTGCCTATTTCCTACTTCCAATAGACAACCGTTCTCTACATTCAACGTCGATGCCCCTATCGTGACTATACGACAAATAGCGTATGTGAAAGTCAAATACCATTGCATGTAGGGGCTCCTTGATGGGGGTGGTGACCGTTCTACTGGTACTACCCATAATGCAATGCACATTCATCGAAAAACCTGAGCATTTGATACATCTCACAGTCGTGACTCTGGTTGAGAAGATGCCACTGTCGATATTCAAGGGCAAGTAGCTCTCTGAAGATGGCATTATACAGGCGTTGAGTTCCTTCTTGAGCCGGGACATGGAACAGTTCATCAGGGAGGTATAGAGATAGCTTGTCGTCAAGCCACCTCCGAAGGGGTCATCTATGGCTTCTCTCCATGTGGTTGGGCACTCACGGCCGTAGCTCTGCTCACTTACACCTCCTCGCCAGGCTTTATCTGGACATCGAAATTCTCACCTATCTTTCTCACTCCTTCATACATCATCATTATCCGCCAAACGACGACTATTGTTGTTAACCACACTTCATCGTTCCTTCTGCCAGGTCGGGATCAAGCCCAACACCCAGAGCAAGCGTGCAGCAGACCGGGATGGAGCATGGAAAGGTCAGAGTCATAAATGCTCCTCTGTAATTCAATTGTGCTGCCACCTTTCACTCGTTCTTTGAGACGAGGGTGGAGTGCTGTAACTAGCACTGGTGGACTGGTATTCGCTTTGTCCCATGTCTGTGCTCGGTTCATACGGTTCAAACAACACGAAACGCAATAATCTCTTGGTCAAGAGATGTAAATGGAAGAATCCCAGAAGAGATCCCGTCTGGCGCATGACCAGAGGCAGGCCACATGGTATCATATTACATACCTTAAGTAACACCAGCTTGTTTTTCCCGTGGAAGGAGGAGAGACGAAATAGCTGCACCGAGCTCCAGTCGCCACTCGGCTACTACAGGAAGAGTCAGGATTGATTACGTTACTCACACTGTTCTCAAATACTTCCAATGTAAGCTAAAGTTTGAGGCTACTGTATACTCCGTACCCTGAAACTTTCCGGACTCGAAAGCCAGAAGTGAACAGTGGGAGGCAGAGCAAGATGGAAATTTTGCCAAAAATAATCTTGGATTCTTCCACGACGCGCTGGTTTATTCGAGAAGTAAGTGCACGAACCACTTTGCAGGGTGTCTATGAGTTCGGACGGAAACCCCGGAAGGCTTGTGCTGAGGTCAAGCTTTTTCCATCTGGGAAATCATCTTGGCTGCAGCACTTTCTGGAGCGCGCGATTCATTCGACGGTATTTCGGACGGGCTCATCCCAGCGAGTCAGCCTATCTAAGCGCAGACCAAGTCCAACCGCAATTTCCGACTCTATCAAACGTCCATTTTATACTTTCTTGATATATTGAACTCTCCACCACTGTCAACCATGCCTCGCAGTGACCGCAACTGATTCCGCCTTGTCTCCTTACTTGGCACCGCGAGGTGCCGCACTACCGCGTCCGCCCGCGAATGATCACCCCTCGTGATCCACCCAACAAATGCCCGTTTAATCTACATTTTCACTTGTTACGAGTGCAATCAACCTAGACAAACCAAACGTCCAAGTTTGCTCCCCCAAACAACCGGGTTGTGGGCAGCGGTAATGTGCACCAGGTCCCGCTACCCGTGTGTAACTTTCGTCAACACGAGACCGGTTGCGTTTCCCTCGGATAGGGGTCGAGCTATTTGAGTGTGCGTCTCCCTCTCCTCACGCAGGTGTGGAAAGATTCATTGGCAACCGCTTTCACGCCTCTCCAAGTCACTCGCTTAACCTGACCGTCTCAACCACTTGTTGAGGAACCACATTCTTTTCGATAATACCAGACCATAGTAATAATGCTGTTCCGATCTCTCGGCTTGGCCTCTGTGGCCGCTGTGGCCGCTCAGGCTGCCTCCGACGGCACTACCTGCACCGAAGGAACAGGTGCAGCTCCTCGTTATGTTATGTACTTTGACCAGTAAGTTGCTTCAATCACCCGAAATCCAAGACAATTTTCTAACAGATCCAATTAGGTACCACACCGCAGGAATTCCGGATAAGTCCATAACCTCTGGTGTTACCCACGTAATCACCGCATTCGCCAACTCGTCCCTTTTTGCTTCCGATCCGGCTGGCGAATACAAGCCGTTCAAGCCCCTGAACGAGGTTCGCGCTCTGTTCAACAACGGAACCAAGGTCTGCATGGCCATCGGGGGTTGGGGCGACACGGACGGATTCGGTCTTGGGGCTGCCACCAACGAGAGTCGTCACAAGTATGCCATCAACGTCGCAGAGACGGCGGTCAAGCTTGGGTACGACTGTGTCGGTAAGTGAAGCATGATCCTTCGCCGTGATTCTCTTATGATCACCGACTAAACGTGGTCTTAGATGTCGATTGGGAATATCCTGGTGGCAATGGTGCGGACTACATCCAGAAGCCCAACAGCCAGAAGACTTCGGAGATCAACACTTTCCCTCTGCTCTTGTCTGCAATCAAGACTCAGCTGAAGCACCACAAGATGGAGCTTTCCGTCACCGCCCCGGGTCTGAAGCGCGACATGATTGCGTTCACCAAGCACCAGACTCCCAAGATCAACGCCGCCGTCGACCACTTCACCGTCATGACCTACGATCTCATGAACCGCCGCGACAACATCACTAAGCACCACACTGACATCAAGGGCTCTCTTGAGGCTATCGACACTTACATCGCTCTTGGTGTCGAGCCCGCCAAGATCAACCTTGGCTTTGCTCTCTACGCCAAGTGGTTCACCACCGCCAAGGGTTACAACTGTACCCAGGGCCTCGGCTGCCCCACCGAGCTCATGGAGGCTGCCGATGGCACCGATACGGGCATGTCAGGCGCTGTCACCTTTGAGACCGCCAACTTCCAGGCTGCTCCCACCAACCTGACTACATCTCCGGATGCCTCCTGCGGTGCCGGAACTTTCTACAAGTGCCCCACTGGCAACTGCTGCTCCCAGTACGGATTCTGCGGCTCCACCGCTGCTCACTGCGGCAACGGCTGCCAGTCCGACTATGGTATCTGCAACGGTACCTCTACCCTCTCTTCCTTCAAGACTGCCATGGCCAACGGAAAGACCGATGAGGTCAGCGGTGGCCAGTGGTACTGGGACCCCGCCGGTCCTTTCTTCTGGACCTGGGATACTCCTGCTCTTGTCACCCGCAAGTTCAATGAGATTGCCAAGGCTCGTGGCCTGGGTGGTGTCGCTGTTTGGAGTTTGGGTGAGGATTCGTACGACTTCAGCCTCCTCAAGGCCATTCAGGCCGGTGTCAAGGCTTGGTTTTAAGAGATGTAGTGTTGCTTGGAACATTTAAGCGTGTCTGTCACATATAATTGAAGCCACAACAGTCATTACTTTTTGTCTCACCTCCTGTTTTCTGTATTCACGAGCCTTTAATTATTATGTTGTGGTGACCTCGTAATTTAAATTTTCCACCTTTGCTCCAATGACCCCAACTAAGTAGGCAAATTCTTTATGTGGTCATCTAGCTGACTTGAGGGATTAAGTGTATATGGCCATCTGCCCTCTCTTGAGTAATAGTCAGTGAGATTGAAGCAAACTGACTTCAACATCTGGCGCCTGTGTCTCGCTTGGGTCCTTTCCAAATCATTAGCACCCTCCAGTATTCCCCGACAGGTTCGTAGCATTAAACTGGGCCATGACTGTTCATTAACAGTTATGAGGCGTTGGAATCACTTACTGCATATGCGTGGAGCCATGACATCGAGGACGCCCGGTAGAAATGGAAATCAATTAGAAAGAAGTGTTCAGGCTCAAAGGAGTTTGCAGGACCCTTGTGGCATATCTAAAGAGCCATGTCTAGAGAAATAATAGTGGCCAGAAAGCTTTCTGACTTGAAAAGAATAAAGTACCTATACTACTTACTTAAAGTAAATGTTAGGAGGACATGCGAGAACAGAAAGGTTCAAGCTAAATCAATAGCATAAAGATCCTCAAAGGAAAACATGGTGATTTCCTTATCGTCTCGAAGACAATAGTGGTGTTACAATGACTTGGACTGATCAATGCCTGACGCGACAACTAAAAATACCGATGAACTAGGCCCATGATGTGCGTACAATGGATTTGTCTGCGCGATGGTAATGCAAGGAAGACCAAGAGCAATTGATTATAGGCACAAAAGGCTAATGAAGGTTTGATGATGTATAAGATGGACTGATACCTAGATGCAATATCATATCTGAAGTTCTCTTATACCACATCAATCAACCACCAACATTCCTCATCACCAAAGCTCTCAACATGCCCAGAATTTCAAGATACCATAAGCTAAGTCCTCCAGAAACTGCTATAAGTACACTAAACAAGCAACAAAGCCTATCACTCTATTCCAAAAGAAAAGCAACATGTTCGCTCAATCGTTGCATGCAGTCTTCCCAGCTCTGAAGGGCCCTGTCAATCTGCCCTACGAGATTTTCCTCCTCATCGTAGAGGCAATGATTTCGGAGGCTTACGCGAGAGCTAGACAGGAGAAGGTAATCTACAAAATTGATTTCACAAACGGACGGTACCAAAGTGTCCCGCAATCCAGCTTTTCTGTTGTATTGGAGAGCCGTAAAGGCGTCAAGATACAGATGCAGCGATGGAAACAAATCCGCGACCTTCTACGAGTTGACGGAACCAGCAGATGCTTAGTAGGACGAGTCTTCGTTACCAACGACATGGTACGCGTCGCATGCTATTCACACACATATGATCCTCGATTCATGGACGAAAGGGTTCGTCTGCTGCCGGGATATGTGCTTCCAGATGTTGACATTTTCGAGATAGCGCCAGACGCGGACAGCATCTTCCATGCATCTTTCACTTTTCATCCTCAACCTGAATATGAACAGCTTTTTGGACTAGTAAAACGGGTCAAAGGGACTTGGTTTGACTACCTACCCACTCAGATTTGGCCGCAAACTCTTACTCCTGAAACGCTGCTGTGTTTTCCCAACTTGCAAGAAATTTGGGTCCAAGTCGAACAAAAGTTCACAGGGATCGATCCGAGAGTCTCTTTCCATGACTCTCACGATGACGACATGCCACTCGACACCCAGATTCTCCCAGAACTGGGTCTGGATGCATCAGGTCACGACATGAAGACTTTGAAGACGCAGTTACGCGTTGCAGAAAAACGAGGTATTAATGTTCACGTAACAACAGGCAGAGCATGGACACAGAGTTCCCGAGCCAAGACGTTACGATTATTCTTGAAGGACGGAGCTGTTCGCATGCAGTTGGTTGACCCGCATTGCGATTGTTACCTTGAGCTTGCTGAGGATCTCAGAGCTCTTGGCCTTACTCTAGAGCAAGCGATGCAACAGGATCAGTGCTTTACAAGGCTTGGACTGTGGTATCTACGATATCTAGGCTGCCATGGAGGAGCGTTTGAGGAGCATGCTTTGCAATTTCATTTCCAGAGGTTGTTTGTATCACTTGCGGTAGATTGCAGCTTACATCGAGTTCTTGACTTATTTTCCTATCATAAGCTGACGGTCGATGCTGTTTCACAGCGTCTTTTGGCCACTTCAATTGTGACGAGACCATAAAACATGTGCGAAACAGTTCATCTCGTCGGTCTGGGTTAAAGATGATAGGTAACCAAGCTAACTATCAACATGGACACCTTACTTGGGTGCTGAATGCCTATGGAGTCTTTGTTTTTATTCCATGCGCAACTATTCCTTTTACTCACTACAAGTCCTCAATAGCATGAAAGGAGGTCCATCTTATTGTTTGACCCCTTTCGCGAGATGTAGTTCTCTTCATTGTCCCATCCTGTGTTTCAAAGTTCGAGGAAACCCCCCCCCCCCTCCCCTTTTCCGTTCGCAATGCTCCGCCGGTAACTCGTCCTTCGAGTGCATAAATCTGCAGGTAAAAACATCTAGGGGGGACTGCCCGAACTCTCTCTGAGATCGGCGAGACGACACTGCCGAAGGAGCCGAGCCATATCAAGACAAATCTCATGCACCCAGCACTCGCAGCAGTCGCAATTCCGGCAGTCGGACTTGACGCGGATGGCATCCTCGGTGATATCCAGCTCCAGATTAGACTTGGAATTGTTCGTGGAGACACGGGCGATGATTGAAATGTTTCTCTTCTTGAACTGAGGGCCAAACTCCCGAGCAACGTCGCCGTAGTCCTCCGCCCACTTGGCTAGCGACGGGAAGTGGGACGCGTCAATGGTCGTGAACTCTGGGTGGGATTCCGAGAGAGAGCATGCGCATCTGTCATCATCTTGCTTCGGTTGATAGTTGCCACCGTCGATGACGATCTTGCGGAGGTTGGGAAGGGAACCGAGCACGTCGACAAAATTTTCGAAGTTCTCTCGGAAGAACTTAGTGTCACTTTCTTTGATGGCCGTGATGTTCCGGACGATCTCATTGCCCTTGACGTTGGGCAGAATGATCGAGGCCTTGAGAAAATCGATCTCGTGATTTTCCTTGAGAGTGAAGATGTCGGTAGCGAGGCACACCCGTCCCATGAACGGGAAACGGGCACGCCAATGTCTGCGTGTGATCATGACCATTCGAGGGAAGTACTTGCTGACCATGCTGCGGCTTCTGGAGTCGATGTGCAGGAGGTCGCGAATTCGGTTGATTCGTACATAGTGGTCATCGTCATAGCCGGTGGTGCTGACGACAATCCTGGCCTCACTCCGCCGGTCGTATTCGAGAACATTTTCCAGCGAATCGGTGTTTTTTACTTCTTCCCGGACGAGAAACTCGATGATGTTGAGGAAAATCTCGTAAGGGACGCAGACTGAACCGGTCAGATTCGGAATCTTTGACAGAGACATGATCGTGGCGTTCCGCTTGCGTTATTTCGATAGTCGAGCTCTATCCCTCAATTGTATTCGTTTGGCGCCGGTGGAGAAAAGAACGAGAGTCCTTGATGTCGATGTAACGACGGTTGTCGAGCGTTTTCGACAGCTTGAAGTCTGAAGATGAGGGTGACGCGTTTACCTTCCTGCGAAGGAAACAAATGGAGGAACAAATACGATGATGTGAAAGGGAAGGAGATAACCTTCCGGTTGTCAAGGAAATTGGAAGAAGGAGAATTCAACCCGTCCGTGGAAGGCTGAAGTGCAAGGCTACGAGGGGGAAGCTCAACTAGTTCACCAGCTGGCCGGGGGATGAAGAATTTGGTAGTAGCATCATGGGGTGCCGTCTGGTCAACTATTGGCAGTTTCGAGATCACAATATTCAACCGCGCGGTCAATGGCTGTTGTGATTGTGATAACAAATCGACTTTGCGGCCTGCCATTCGATATCCCGGCAGTTCATTCATCTCCAGATAAAGCCCAGACATCGCGCAATACGGCCACCTGCATGGGACATGCTTTGATGAGAACTTGGAGCTATGGGTCTGAAATAAGATGAGAATGTAACACTATAGTAGCCTGCAGGTGAGGATGTGTGTCTATTATTCCTATAACGGCTGCTATAGATACTGTGTCTCAATTTTGTTCTCCGTTGGATCTTGGGGATCTTTGAAAACTTCGTTTCTCTAAACCTTGACATTTCCAACTCAAGATTCACCGTAAATGATACTGCAGTCCATCAAACTTTGGATGGGCTGGGCCCTGACCTTTTATAGAAACCACCATTCTATCTTTCTCGAATAAGTTGCATTTGATGTAACTATCTGGTACCTCATGCATGTATGTGTCGTTGCACCTTGTTTATTTCGCCTTAACGGCGCGTAATACGATTGTTTAGCTTACATTGGTCCAGCTGCTTTTTCAATTTTATCTGATATGGCCGGGCGACATCCTCGAACTGCCCTGTATCGGATGCCCCTGCCCGACTCATAAGCTCCAACAGCCTCTTTGGGTCATGAGCGAAAGCGATCCCGTCAAGAACACTCGGATCAGCCCCCTTGTCAAGAAGCCACTCCACGTAATCCCAATCCCCCGTGGCACAAGCCAAAGTCAGAGCAGTCTGCTCCCCTCTTTCTCCTGCCCACTTCACATCATCGACATCTACATCATCGAAGCTCAACATGTGCTCAGCCATCTCACGACGCAAGGAGAATGGGCTCACCCATCGTTCAGCGTCCCCACTATGTTGGCCGACAGCTGACAATACCGCCATGTCTCGCACGATGCGCAGCAAGGGCATGAGTTCGGAGACCCTGAGGACAGGATCGCTGTACGTTCTGAGCAACTCAAAGAACCGGGGATTCCAGGTCTCAATCGCAAGACCAAATGTCCATATCCCATGCCGATGAAACGGTACCTCAACTGGATACCATACGTTTGGTTCTTGTTCCTTTAGTGTCGGAATATGATACCATCCTGGCCCAATATTCGGATCAGCGCCGTAAGAGAGGAGGAATTTGGCCAGAGGTTTGTTGCGAACGCATAACGGATCTTGGAGCGCCCACTTTGGGTAGTTCCCCTCTCTGGGTTCCCAAGCTTGATTCGGGTGCCACCCTGCGTCCATAAAAGTTTGCAGCAGAGGAACCAGGGTGTCGTCATCATCTGGAAAAGTCTCGAAAAGGGAAGCGCCAACAGCGGTTCCTCGTGTTTTTGATGCGGCTTCCGTGCCTTCGAAAACATACCCGTGGAGAGCTGTGTCGTTTAAAAGCAAGAACTTGGCGACTGCAGGCTGGTTCCCGAAGGAAGCTTGTTGCAGACCAAATTGGCGGATAGCGTGACTTGGAGAAATGTCCTGAATGAAGACTTCGACCTCTTGCAGATGGCCCATTCGACAAGCAATGTAGAACCCAAGCTCCATGTGGTCATCGGGGTTTAGTTTCTCGACATCAATAGCATAATCGGGTCGTGGAAGGCGGGGTTGTTGTTGTTGTTGTTGTTGTTGTATTTAACGCCGTGGCGGCCGGGCTAGAGCCCTTACCGCAGACCTCCCGAAGGGTATATGGCGTGGAGGGCCGTGAGCCAAGGCTACCTACTCTACAGTACGTCGTCTCTTTACATCGTCCTCCAAATCATGCCTTGTGGCCACTACGCGTTCTGTCTGTCCCCGGTTCCCGCTGGTGCCCCAGTTTCATTCTTTCCCAAATCGTCCCTTGGAATCGGGAGGTTCTTTGTAGTCCGCACTCACATCTACCTAGGTGTGGATGCTGCTACCGCAGACAGATCTTCTGGAAGAAGTCCGTCACGCGGAGAAAGGCCTCGAAGCCTCGTGGGTCGGTGATTAATCTCTTGAAGTAGGCCTCGAGAGATCCCATAGGACCTATGGGCTCGGGCATACTGCGAGAGTGGAGGGTCGGCCACCGTTGCCTCCTCGCCAGCGTTAGTCGACAGTAGACCAGGTGGTCCACGTCTTTCGCCTCTCCACAAGAGCACATCATTAGAGCGTCGTCGTGGTTGAAACGTCGGTGATATTGCTCGAAGTCCCCGTGACCCGATCGTGCCGCCAGCAGGTGATGTAACGTAGCCCGCGGCAAGGCCAGTTCAGGAGGGCTGGACAGAGCTGCCTCAAGCCCCAAGTCCGCGTACCGCGGCCTTCGCTCTTTATACCACCATCTCCTGTGCTGGCTTTGTAATTTTTCCCTTGCAAGCCGCTTGATGCCCGCTAGTGTTGCCATTTGACCCATCCGCGCCGGCAGTGTCGTTCCTTCTTTGGCCAGCCGGTCCGCGGCCTCGTTTCCTTCGATGCCCTGGTGTCCCGGGGACCAGTGCGTCCGTATATCAAATATCCTGGCCGCTTCTTGGATTTCGAGGAACGCGTCTTGTGACGAGTCCGGCGCCTTGCCGCGGATGCCTTGTATAACGCTGGTGTTGTCGATACATATGTGGATTGGATGACCGCGATTGGTGAGCAGAGCCCTTCTGAGGCCGGTTCGCGCCCCTTCGACCTCGGCGTCGAACACTTCTGCTAGTCCGAGTCGGCCGCACCCTTGCGCTATGCGTTTGGAGTCTCGGTAGATGACGAAGCCGTACCCCACGGCTCCGTTCGTCGCCCTGGAGCCGTCCGAGAAGACGATCATATGGCTTTCCGGTACTGTCTTTAGCCAGCGCTCGAAAGCTTTCGCAGCCTCTTCTTTGCATTGAACTACTATCTGATCCTGTGAGCTTGGCAGGTACTGTGATTGGAGGAACGTTGGTCTTCCGCATCTTGGCAGAAGTTCAGCCGTCCGTTGTAGTCTCGTCTGTTGCTGTCCCTGCTGGGAGAGCCGCGCGACTAGCGGGTGTCGGCGATCAATCCTCTGTAGTCGGACTGCGGCCCGTAAACGGACGCCTTCTAAGGCGACTTTGGCTGACGGTAAGCCGGCGTCTCGGAGGAGGCTACTGGTTGGCGTTGT